TGTTGATTCATTTGCTATGACGTCGATAATTTAGAATCGTGTATATCCGAGAACTTAAAAAAACAACTTTGAGGTACTTGAGAAATTTTTGATGAAAATGCAAACGGAAAAAAATCTGAAAATGGAACGAGAAACAACGTAAAATCTGTTGCCAGGGAACTTCCACATTCTCAATTAATTCAGTGCCTTAGTTATGACTTAACAATTTACGCTCTTTCTACAAGTTAGTCTTTTAGTTTTTTACCATTTAATTTTTCCGAGCCCACATCAAAAAAAAGGCTTTTAGTTTCAATATTATCTACCTACCTCATGAACTTTAGGTATATAAAAAATTAAATTAAATTAAGAATTTAATTTAACTAAAATAAAAAATATGATATAAGGATGATTCATAAAATTTTTTTTCTTAGAATTGTGAGAAGATTATTTAAAATTAATATCCATGCCATGAGCTTGTAGGTCTACCCACAAATTAGAATCTCGTCGTCACTACGGATTCCATATTTAAAAAGGTGAAGTGCAAAACTGGTATTAAAAATATTTGCCACTGTTAGCCACTGTTTGCCACAATATTTACTTTCAATTTTTGAGTCATGGTTTTTTTCAATATGGTAATTATTATTTTAAAAAAGTTCTTGATTAAAAATTGAAATCTTTTCTTTTTCTCCGTTGCTCAAATTTAAAATGTATTTCCTATCTATCTAAAAAAAAATCAACTTAATCAGTAGAAGTGACATCAAGATTAGGTAAACCTAATTAGTTCGTCAAACGTTTTAATGTTCATTTAAACCTACATGTAGTTCCCGGTCTTTGCTTCCCCCTAAATCTTTGTAGCCCGAGATTTTGTCTCACCTTCAAGCTATCCTGGTGTTAATTTATATACTTTTATACTAGTTACAGACATATTTTTTAAAAAAGTATCTTTAAAGATGGACTCTTATTATTTCTTATGAACTTAATCTATATGTCATGATAAATTATACTATTAATTGAAATTAAATGCAATTCTTTTTTAGTTGGTTCGATGCTCTTCCTGTCAAAATTGTATAATTTTAAAAATTCAACTCCATTTACACCAATAATAAAGTAATTATGCGCGAAATGCTGAATTTCAAATTTGATTGCTATACCTGTCAGAATAATTAATTTAAATAGTTGACATATAAATTTTAGTTGCTGCAGATACATATCACAACGCCTATGTATATAGAAATGAACGGAGGATAACGACCGTCTTCTCATTTAAACCACTCATGGATTCATCCTTCCGGCTATCCATCGTGCCAGAATTATCTGAATCCAGAAACGTTTGGTACAGCGATTACTTTTCGAATTGGCTTCATAACACTTCTTCAGCTGTGAGAACTAAATGTTATTTTTTTTTGTTTATTTTGTTTATTTTTATTGCTTTTTTGCAATAATGAAATTGTTTATGGAAATAAACGAGTTGAGGAACAATTTATATTCAATAAGTTTTTAATGATGTTTGTGATTTATTTGTTTTTATTTTGCAAAAAAAAAATGTTATAAATTTTTTAAAAAATTTGTCAAGCCTGGCAGCCATGTTAGTTAGCAAAATTTTTCATCAACAAATTTATCGTATATGATGTTGTATTAAATCAATATAGTTTGTTATCCATTCTTCTTTTTCGACATTATATGTTTTGTAAAAATCAGCCGCTATTATGATGTTTTAAAACGTTTTAATAAGTTTTTAGCATTTCTTATTTTTATCCTACTTTTATAGTTCATACAAAAAACTAAATTTCCTAGCGTCATGTTTATTCTTCTTATTCAAACGAAATTTCTACACTATTGTTTCAGAACAAATTTATAATGTGAATTTTAAGTACAATTTGGCTAGTTTTATAGTAGTTAAAAATGGATTAAAAATATACTGTGAGAAACCTATAAAAAAAAACAAGAATCGTGCAAACTTAATTTTGGTAAATACATATTGTCTGATGTACAGTAAGTACCTATTTGTTGTTATTCCACATGACTGTCATTTGGATGGGATTTTAAGTAGCAAACGAACCAACAGACTTATTAAGATTTCCTAATTTCTCAATTAAATACTCATTTGTTTGAAAATTCAAAATATTCTAGGTATCTAAACTACATCTCCCACGGAATTTTTCATCTACACCGCCATCGGTATCTTTGATGTTGGTTAGCAAGTGTCAAAATTCGCATAACCAATTTAAAGAATAACACGTTGGGAGATTAAAGTTAGTTGCGCAATCAAGTTTGTAAAGTTTGTTAACGTTGATTTTTTTATTAAATACAAATTATTAAATGTAAAGTTTTATTTGCTCACACACAAGTGTTGTAGTCTCATGCAATTTTGTCAGTTTCTTTCGGTCAGCATTTAAAGCAGATCATCGTGCTGTAACTTTTGGAACAGTTGCTCACAATATAACACTTCACCTCCTACAATTGAAAATGGAAAATTGTAAACAATATCACATTCTGAACAGCTTTTGGTTTTTTTCACGATTTACCAATCCACCAAAAAATTTACTTCCTAGGACAGGTGGACAACACGAAAATTGATAAACTGACCGCAACGTTAAATGAACCAGTGCAGTGTCTCGCAGAAGGACAACCTCCACCCAAACGATTCAAAATAAACATTACAATTCTTTCCTCTACACCGAGAAAACCCGCCAAGATTTACAATATAACCTGCAATACGATCGTTTTCCACATGACAGGAACCTACAATGTAAACTGAGAAGCTATCAACTATATGCAATACATACTAGCATCAGAAAAAAGTTTGCCACAGTTAAAATTCTTTCTGATAGTTGTTGCGTGTGTTGCTGTTGTCGTTGATGTTTGTTTCATTTGTCGTTGCCGGTAATTGATGTTCATTTTCGTTCGTTTGTATGAATAAAATAAACTGCAGATGGAGTTGTTTGGATTTTTCGTCATCGTAATTTTTACACAAAATCTAGCACGCTGGTCCTGATAACACTTCAACATCATGGAGTTCTTACAAAATCATAATAAACTTTGATAAATGTTTAGGACAAATTACTATATAAATTTTAGCATCATAAAGTTTATCGACGTTGTATATATTTAAATTTAACATTAAATTGTAGGAAAAACTATGAGGATTATGTGTCTTTCAATTTTTAAAAAACTCAACTTTTTAAATTTGTTAACAGACACACCTGGCACTGAACAGCTCTACATTCCAAATTAAATCAGTAATAATATTAATATTTCTCCAAATTTACTGTCAAACAATAATAATATATAATCGGATAATTCAAGTAACTTGTTGTTGCGTTAAATCTTGCAAAGGCCGGAAAGGACTAAAAATGCATCAGAGATCTTGTAAAACGTATAAATCTCTCAAGTCCACAAATCATGAAGTTGAAGAAAACGTCAGTGACGAAACCTGTCAAGCGCCATTTCAACACAGTCAGCAACTTCAACAACAACGGTTCCAAAACCGCTACCTATGAATAAAACTGCTTAAGTCGTCAGCTTAGTGGTCCGAAACCAACGCAGTTTTTCAATCAGAATTAAAATGTTTAGACAATGTCAAAGATATCGACAGTTTTTCTACCAGGTTTCAAAAGTCTACACCCATTTTGCTGCCAATTTTGGCGTCATAAAGAAGAAATCAATAACTGACGAACACGCAAATCGACATTTAAAAACAAAATTGAAAAACTGCATCTGAATAATATTCATAAGTTATTCGTAACAATAATTCGTAATAATATTTCAAAGTTTAGTATTACAATAAATATAACTATAACGAAAGTTATGTCAAACGTAAAGACGTTTCACACTTAGTCAATCATTTGCTTTGCGAATCTTTTTAGCGATTATTTTGTTAACTATATGTAGCTTATTTTAGAAATTTTTAAACAAAGTGAGAACAAAACGATTAAACAAAAAAACAAATTTTCCCTCAATTTTGTTTTGCGTTATCTTCTCTTTTCCTCAGCGCATTGCAAAACATCATAATTAGTTTCAGTTTCACTATTTTATACTTTTCTTTCATTCAAAATGTAATGTTTATTCTATCGTTTCTTCCCTTGCATTCTTAACGTGCTTTTTTTTATAACTACTTTGTCTAATGTATCATTTAAAAATGTACCTTATCTACTTCGTTTCCGCTATGGTTTTGGTTTCTTTGCCTTACTTTCATTTCGATTGGTTTTCATGGTTTGTTCTTAGCATGATTATACGGCACATACACATATACATTGATAAGTCAGAAGTGTAGATAGGCCGCCGAAACGCCAAAATGTTCAAAAAGAAACAGTACAATTTTACCAAAAATAAAAAATTACTAAACAGCATATAAATATCACATTACAAAAAAAAATAAATTTTTCATTAACATCCTTCAATAAACGTTTGTTTCGTCAAAGTAACGAATGAATGAGATCTTATAAAAGTAATTACAAACCTAAACACTAGTTGAAAATGGAGTGACGAATTTGAAAGATACTATTGAAAAATTGTAGAAAAAGATTGATGAAATAAACATGTTAACACACGCAAAAAGATACACACATGAAAAAATAAAGGTAGGTGCATGTACTCCTTTTAACTATTTATAATTATTTAATTTTATTGTTTCTATATTATTTTCTGCCTCAACGCAGTTTATATGATAGCATGAATGTTTTAATTAACGTACAAACACTGGGCAGAATCATCAAATGAAGGCAGAGGACGGTCGTCCAGACATCTTTACGATTGAATCAGCACTACTGTGTAATGTTCGGTGTAGAGACGGCATTTTTTTTTACAAAGTTTCTATCTTCATATATCTTTCCATTAATTTTTCACTTTTGTGCGTTTAATCTTACAAAATGTTAATTATGTTCATTTTGCAAACATTCGTTTGAATTAAATTTTCTTTATTAATTAATTTAATTGATTTTTTGGAAAGTAGAAAATTGTCATGACTCTATTTTTGAGAATAAAAACTTGAAAATAAATTTTTTAAATAAACATTGCCGCTGTTAAGTGGACCGAAATGAAAGAGATAAGAGAAGAACGAGATCAGCGGCATCAGAAACAGCTGCAACTTCAGATCTAAAAGCACCAGCTTCGAACGCAACACCGTTCAAGTCCACACCACCTCTACCCTCAGGTCTAAGTAGTCGGATGCATTCCCATTTTCAAATTTAAATTTTGGAAATTTTGGAAATTTGTCATTTTGTCAAGCTTATATTTTAAATTAATTTCCTGTAATTTTTATGCAATTTAAAAATTATTTTACTAGAACAAGATATTATAAATATTTACAATGACGATAACAATATGATTCAGTGTTTGATCAAATTTAAATTTAATTGAGGCATGTATTTCTGTGGTAATGATTATTTTAATGAAAATATAAAATAGTTCATCATTAACATTAACAGTTTTACATCTTTAGTTTATTTTGAAAAAAAATTCAATTGTTAAATTAAAACAAATATACCTTTAATTGGCTCTTAACAATTTTCATTAAAAAATTTGATAATAAAAAATCAGTTTAATTTCAAATATAAGTAAAAAAAGCATTTCTACAAGGAATGAAATAAAGCGGAAAGCTTATGGCTTAGGAGACAGAAAGATTTAACATTTGGATGCTAGTAAAAGTTCATTTCACAAGATTATAGAAAGAAAATTAGATTACAAATTATAGATAAATGAATATTATACAAACATTAACTTAACAAAAAAAAGTGTCTTAAAATAAATAATTGAAACATTTTACAAATAAATAAAAAATAATTTAAATTATTAATTAAACAACAAAACGCTAGTAAATATAGTGAAACCGTTATAACATAACAAAACAGATACAATTTAATGAGCGATAACCCATAAGCCCAAACCCCCGAAAATTAGTTAATTAAGTGAAAGCATAAATTATTCAAGAAATAATAAAAGTAAGACACAAACACACACGTCTCAGTCATACTTACATCCATACTCATATGCCAACCAAAATATCAATCTAAAACCTAACAGGATAATTTTCATGCTGTTCGTACCTCATCTCAAACACTTTAAATTGATTTACGGATTCTGCACTCACAACTTTCCGTGGTAAAGAATTATCCGTTAACAAATGCATATTTACTCATGCTTGTTCTAACCTTATTTTGTTCTAACTTTTTATCGTGTCCTCTAGTTATCGAAACTGTACATAATTTTAGATCTGGATATAAAATACTTTTTAAGTTATCGTTGAAAACATTATACAAACTAATCAAATTTCCTCTGATTCTACAAAATTTTAGTGTGGATAAATTTAAAAACCTCAGCCTTTCATTGTATTTCATACCACGACATTCATACAACTATTTAGCGCTCATTTTGATACGATGACCATACAGCAGAAGCATAATTTAATTTAGATCTGACCATAAATTTTTATAAACTCAAAAATTAAAATTTATCCAAACCAAAAAATGAATTTGAATTAAACCTATTATTTGATAACATTTATTTACAACGCTCAATACATGCTTATCAAATCTCATTTTATTATTATATGTAAAATCGAGATCCTTAATAGATTCAACTTTAACTAATATCAGTGAAAAAACTCAAAAAATTGCATCTAGAACTCAAAACCTAAAAAACTGCAAAAATTAAAACATAAAGAAATCATACAAAATATTTTTGAAAAAAAATAATATATATTTAAAACTAGAACTTAAAAAATGATTGTATTAAAGGTTTGTTTTTCTAATGCTTTTACTAGTTAATTTTTCAAAAATGGATAAAATATATTAAAGATTGTATTAATATTTGTCACTTGGTTATTCTGTTAATCGGATCTTGCAAGAAATCGCTGTAACCACTTAGCCAAACCATCTGCGTATCACGAAATGATGCCCATTTGTGTCTTCATATTGTTACAGAGACTAAAATTAAGTTATTAATTATTATTAAATTATAAACAAAAGTGATTTAAAAAAAAAATTTTTAATTTTGTTATAGGTTAATATGAATAAATAAAAAAAGTAGAGAAGAAAATTCACCAACTGTTTTCCAGTTTTTTGCACTTTCCGCTGTCAAATTTTAGCCTCCACCCGTCATAATTGTCTACTTCGGCCAGTGTCATCTCACTCAATATTATCGAAATCTAAATGTAGATTGTTTATGGTAGTTTTTGTTGTTAATTTTTTAACGTTTAAATTGATATTGTCAAATTTTTATGAACGCGTTTATAGCATATAAAATTGAATAAAAAAATCGAATAAAATTGTTTTGAGTTGTATTGTATATGCAGAAATGAAATATTGTTACATATTGTCATATAAGATTTAAGATATTCACTTTCTTGGAATTAAATTTTTAAGCAGGTTATAGTAAATAAAAAAGTATTACAAACGAACGTGTAACGGATGCAAAAAAGTACAACTCTTAATTAATGCGAATCATATTGCGAACTTAATTTACCCAACCATAGTTGAAGGCCAGGAATGCTCCACTCCTTTCTGAGTTCCATAACCAAACGTCAAATTTTTGAGTTTATCTAAATAGAAAGTTTTATTAAAAGAAAAAAAACTCTGAAATAGCTATTTAACTTTTGTTATGCATATAAAAATATATGAAAAGTGTTTCAATGTACAAAATGACAAAATCAATTTTTCAAAAATTTTTCATTTTGATTTTTAAAGTCAAATATAATGTATAAAGAAAAAATATTAAACAAAATTTTGATATTTTACAATATACATTTACATAGTCAAGAAGCGTGAAATTTTACATTTCTAACGACGTTTTCCAGTTTTTTTCATTTTAGAATAAAGCGCATACCATCATCAATTATTTCTTTCAAATTTTTTCGATGTTTGTTTGTATACTCTTATCACATTATCTTGTAAAACGGTTTTTCATTAAGTAGTTTCCTTTTTTGTCAAACTGATCAAGGCCCATTAACCAATTGAAGTAAAAATTATGTGATTTAGTTAGTTTGATTCCTATTGCAAACTTAATGCTGTAAAATTTTTCCAACCGGTAAGGTTTAAATTGTCTCTTATCATTATACCTTGTCATTGCAAACTAACCAAAGGCGTAGGCTTAAGGGGAGCTGTGCGGCTGAAGTCTCCTCTCGAGAAAAAATTTTTGCTACGGTTATGGCTAAAATGAATAAAATCTTCTTATAAATTTTAAAAAGTTAGTTTGAAAACTATTTCAGCCCCTACAACAATAAAATTGAGGTAAATTTTTGCAAAAGGCTAACGTTTCCGGTAACTAAATCATCACCTCTTCTTGTCCAATCATTAAAATCCCTGTTCGGTGAATAGACGTCATTACATAATTTGCACAAAATCATCATTTTATTTACAGTAAATTACAGCGAGCTTTAACAAATTCAATTGTCGTGTAATTTAGCACTTTATATATCATCTATTAATTTATTATTATTCTTTTTGTAACTAACAATTGAAATTTAATTGTTAATTTGTTCGGGAGATAATTCACGTTAGCCAATATATGTATATATGTTATAAAATAATATATTGTTATATATATAGTTAGCATTAGATTGGCATTTGTTCGAAAATTTCAATGTTCATCCTAAATTCAAAACTTTAATTTTATGTACTCATTTTGAACTATATCTCTGTTTCATAAGATTAATAGAATAGAATCTGCAGTTCAATAACTTTTGATTTATTTCGATCTAGTTTAATCCTTGATTTTTGTCGAACTATTTTAATTTTTGATTTTTGTTGATCAACGTTGATTTTATTTGGATAGGGTGACTTTCTTACAAGCATTTGGTTGCTTTTTTAGTTTACCCCTCTTTTGAGAAAATAAACGAATTGAATTGAATTGAATTAATAGTGTCCAAGCAGATTATGTTTTTAGTCAATCTTCAATAATATAATAATACAAAGCTAAGATACTTTAAAAATAATTATTAATTATTGGGTCGAGCCTGAACTCCGACACTCAACATAACTCACATCACATTGGCGCACAAGTTTATCAGACATCACATGCAACCACAAAAACACGCTCATTGGATCCAGGATCAGTAACGTCTCTCACCGAATGCGTTCTTCTTTCATGCTCTTGTTGCATCAACTCTCTACTTCCAAAGTTTCAGTCAGGTTTTCGTCAAGCACATTTAACTGAAACGGCAATATTGAAGGTGGTTTTCTGATTTATTGTATCACATTTCATTACTTCAGAAGCGCTAGCATTGCCGTGGATTGATGGACAGACGATGTTATAAATGCTTTTTGAAAACCTGTCGGGTTATGTCTGTGATGCTGTCGACGCTACTAGCAAAGTATTTCACGCAGTAGATTACCAGTTTTTGTCGGAACGACTTTCATCTTCATATGGTACTGGTGGTCATGCGTATAGGTGGTTTCAGTCTTACCTAGCAGACAGGACTCAGTTTGTACGTGTTGGTGATAATTCAAACACTGCCTTTTCAGAAGTAACCCGTGGTGTTTCACATGAATCAGTAATTGTTCCCCTGTCATACACCATGTACACTGTCGACGTCGCGAAGGCAGCAGGCAGGCAGGCAGGCAGGCAGGCAGGCCTTCATTTCATGTTTATGCCGACGATGTTCAAATATGTATACTTAGACGTATGCAAATGCTTTTGTGTCGGATGTTGTAGTAAACGCACAACTCAATGGAAAAAAGAATCCTATTAAACGGGTGAGACTCAACATTGATAAGACTATCCAGTAACTAATTTCGGTGTTATGCTTAATTCTGACTCACCAATGGATGGTCATATAAATATATTTTGCCGTCGATGTTTCTATCAGGTGCACAAAATAAAATCAGTAAGAAGTGGTTTGACTGTTGAATTAACAAAGATGCTTGTTTGTAGTTTAACTTGTAGCAGAGATGATTATGAAATGTTCGGAATCAAACTATCCCATTGGGATGTTGTACAGTTCATTTTTAACGCTGGTGGCAGATTACTCAAAATTCGATTTAATTTCAGCTTATATCAGAAATGAACTATATTGGCTTCCTTATGTCAGAAAGAGTTTTGTTCAAATTAACTTTCCGTATCAGAGATTCACTACGCGGCAAGTATTACAAGTAAGAAATTTTTTATTTAAATGTTACTATCGCTTAATTTTAATCACACAGCCTAAGTCAAGACAGAAAGTGTTTTATAGAAAAAATACTTATAAAAATATGGATTGAAGATAAGTTATAATACAACAAAAAAAGAGTTGTGAAAATGTTTATTCACATCGTTTAACTTGGAAAATAAATGTAAAGGAAAAATCAAAAACAAATTTAAATAGAAGACTGATTTTCATTGAGACTACATTTAAAAGACAGCACGAGATAATGTTTAAGCTCATGGCATTTCTGAACTTGTTCGCGATGCCGCTCTTCAAAATATCACAAAATTAAAGAGTTTACAAAATTAAAGAGTCGTACAATGAAAAATAAACTGAATGCAGCTGGAAATTGTTATGGATGTAAAAAAGTTTAAAAATTAGCTATAAGCACCGTGTATCATATCAAAAGCCAAACATAGAACGAAAAATAAATTTGGCAGGACATGTGTTAACAATGGATGCTAACAGAACAAATCAACCAGCGAAGCCTCGGTGTATCTCCCTCAAGAGATGAGGCTATGTGGAAGGCCAGCAAAAAATGAAAGGATAGTCTGGATGGCGATTTGTAGCTTGCTGGATTGTCCAAATGCAAATGACCAAAAGAAGACCATGAACGACGCTTGAAAAACCAGCACATGATAAGGAACGATGGAAGGATGTAATGAGGACATGAATGGCCGGATACAGCTGATAAAAACAAAACCATCTCAACTATAAAACGATTAAACATTCCATGTACTAAGAATAAACATGCATCCTTACGCAACAATTTACTATTATTATTATTATTATTATTATTATTATTATTATTATTATAAACTTAGTATCAATAAATAAATATTTTCTTCAAAGTTTCAAGGCTATTTTTTTATATTTCATTGCTAGCATTCATCGTGTTAACAAGCTGTACTAAACTGAAATTGAACTGATTGGAAGATTCAGCATCGTTTGATGAACAGAAATTAACTGTAATGAATGTCGAATTAGCAATTAAAAAATTTTTAGTGAATAGATAAAAGAATTGGAAAACAAAAAAAAATTGGAAAACGTACTTAAATTATGTTATTTAACATAAAGTTTTGCTTATATATTCACATCCTTAACTGCAGCATTCTCACTTCGAATTATGTTGCCTGGTTCAATATATTACTTACATGTTTCAGGTTTTGTTTCAGGAAAAATATAAATTTTCAAAATAAGATAAAACAAATTTTGGTATATATTCTGAATGAATATTAAATGTAAAATTTTACAAATTAAAAATAGTTCCAAATTTATTTATTTGAATTTATTAAAATTTATTATTTAAAAGTTGTTTTCAAATTATTGGTGCTTTCAGTTTAATCTTCATTTTTCTCGTTCTGCTGCTTGGTTATTTATTTATTTTTAAACAAGCATTTTACTACACTAGCAGTAGATATTCACCAATTACCGAGAATAACTAGCAAATGAAAATATTGTGACTTATAAAAAAACGTCATGATGGCATTCACACATTTTTGATGAATTGGGATGTAACCAAACAAGCTATCACAAAATAATTGAATTTTAATTATCATTTAAAATCATCATTCGCAGAGGCAGTAACTCCTCAAATCCATATATAAGTAGGTGTTCAACAGTTTTTAATTTTTACAAATTTCACTTTTGGACCACAACAGTGTGCAGGTTTTAACGGAAGAAAAGACATTTATGATATAGGTTTGAGTAATCCCTCCAATCCGAGGATAAGAAACAACAATTGTTACAATTACAAAATCTCTTAATCATTGCACAATGTTTCTAAATTTAACTTTTTTAACATTTTTTTTTATTCCAACCACTATTAAATTAATCGTAACATACAAAAATTAATTAGCCATTATACATTTACGAAAGATAAATAAAATGAATCTTCAACAGTTTAATGAACTTAAATAATTATCTTTTTCCTACAATAAATTCGGGATTAGTGGAGCATAAAAGCAGAATTGTCTACCACTGATCAGACTCAAACTTATCTCATTTTTTTAATTTTTTCTTTGTTTTATCTGAGACATATGTTATGTTATATCTGTATAGAACTCTTTAATTTTGGGTGTAATTTAAATATATATATATCTTTATTAAATATTTTAAAAACTATGATACATGTTCTAAAATTGTTCAATTAGAAAATTTTTATTAAGTTATGTAAGTTATAATGTAGAAAAAAGTCATAATTAAAGTAATCAATTGCAAATAAAGTTTTAATATATTTTTTTTGCAGAATAAATAGTCTTTAGATTGTCCTCTTACCAGCGGATCGGAACCCCGAATCAACTTGCAATGTAATAGGTACGGATAAAAAACGAGAAATATAGAAATTTCTTCGCATTACCCTTTAAGAAGACTTTTATTCTAAAAAAAAAGTCCCGTGAGAGATTGATAATAATTATTAGTTTACTAATAACTAGTGCAATATGTAATTTAAAGTCAAGTTTGTCGTCAAAGATTACACCAAATATTTTAAACTTTCAGTTTTTAATTTAATTCATTTAATTTTAGAATCGGTTAGTTAGAGTCTAATTCCTTGATATTATTTTGCGTTCTGTAAAGAATCATATATTTTGTCTTAGATTGGTTGATGCTAATTTTATTTGAAACTGACCAGCAATTTAAATTTTTGTAACTGTTTTGTTGTTTAGCGATTCTGATTTTTGTAACAGTGTTAACATGTTACTATCGGCAGAAAAGAAAGAGCATTCATCTGCGTGCATAATTAAATTAGAGGAACCATCACAAATATTCACGATATCATTAACGAACTAGATAAAAATTAATGGACCAACATTGCTCACCTGGGGTACTCCAATTGTGATAAGCAGACACTTAGAAAGGCTTCCCTATTAGTTGAGGACAAACCGAGCAAATAAGCTATCACAAAATAACTAAATTTGAATTGTTTTTTATCAATTTTAACTTAACTAATTTTCCATTTTAACTTAACTAATTAACAAATAAAAACAAAAACATTTACTTGGAAAGTAATTGTATTTTGAAAAAGTTTAATTAAAAAATCATTAGACACATTTAAATCCAAATGAAAACAGCAAGATGTAGGTAAGGTATTATCAGTAATAAGTAATTTCTGTCAGGGTATCTGAATTGAACAAATAATTAAAAATTTTGATTTTAACTAATACTTTAACTAAAGTTTTACAGATAAAATACGAAATTGGTAAAAAAAATTTATTCAAAATTTTAAT